TTTTTTTTTTTTTTTTTTTTACAGTATATTGTTTTATTTCGCGTTCTCAACATTGTCACAGTACTAGTTTTACATCAATAGGGTTTTTGTCTACTTAGAAACAGAATGCATAATAAAATAAGAGCACTCCTCCCGTCCATTTGACTTCAAAAGTGGGCTGTGAGAAAACAGGAGCATCTCAGGTAATCAGAAGCAGTGTTAACCGTGTAACAGTTGGCTGTTCGTCTCTAGATCCTATGATAATTCAGTCCTGTCGGAGGCAGAGAGAAGCAGTTTGATGATTATGTAAAGATCAGAGGGGGAGCAAGAATGCACCTTCAATGTAACTGCAGACAATGAGTAGTAATAATAATAATAATAACAATAATAATAATAATTTACAGACTATTTACATATGTTTCTCATTCTTTACTACCCGCCGCCCCCCTTTTAAAATGTTTGCTCAATTTCAAGCCCTCTTTATTTCATCGCGCTACATTAGATTTCCACGGGTTGGATATTTACACTCAGCAGTACGCGGCCACATCTTCATACTGTACAGTGGAAATAGAGGTGAAATGCATGCCGGAGTAGAATGACACAAGTTTTTAAAATGAAAAGACACACTAGCAGGCCAGAAACTCGTCTAAATGTAAACAAGCATCAATCAGAGAGAGAGAAAAAAGAAGAAAAAAATCAAAACTACATTAAAAGTTTAGGGTCGAGTCAAGCATGCCGCTTGATAGAACAACAGGTAAAATAAAAAAAAAGAAAACAAACGAGAGAGAAGATAAAAGAAACGATAGGCATCAATGGCATGCAACAAAGCACCTCACATGGAATCTGGACAGGTTTTACAATAGATCAGTCTTCTGAAGGGACTGGATGGTTGTGAATCGATGTAATTAAATTTAATCCAGAACAACCAGTTTGTATCAGACCGTTGTCTAAAGACAGAATTTGTCACCTGTGGGGTTATAGTAGGCTGATTGACTAATATACTTGTTACTAAGATGATTTCAAAGTGCAATGTTGGCACTTTTCTGACTCTTTAGGACATAAACTAGTGAATGAAATGCTTTGATGGCTGACAGGGAACAAATATTAGTGCATTAGGTAGAGCGAGGTAACAGGAAAGGTTAAAATGAAAGGTTAATAAATGCAGTATTTAAATCAGTAATAAAGCATTAAAAAGAACAAAAGCTGGGTTGCCAGGTTGGGATCATTTTGGCGGGTGTTTTTTTTTTCCTCCTCGTTTTTCTCATCATCTCAGCTGGTTTAGTTACAGCATCAGCAGAAGCTAAAAATCATGTGACAGAAAGCTTCTGTGCCCATGTTCATGTTTTATTTGCAAAAATCGCATTTGTGGAGGTGGACTCTGTCTGTTTGTGGTTGTGCGTTATCTATCTACACACATAATCCAAATTAAACAGGGGTCCACTCGTATACATGTTGCTCAGTAGCACTAGCGATGGTCAAAAACTTCATATGGTACCTTAAAAAAGCTGAAGATCAACAGGTCCAAAATCTATTTAACAATAACTTATCAAGTGCAGACTTCATGGATTATTGGAAAACTTTAATAAAGTACGATTAACTGTGTAATTACAGATGACTTCTGCAGGAGGACACACACCAGCCCTGGCATTTTTTATTGTTGTTTGTTTCAGAACTCAAAAGTTGTCTTCTAAGTGGGTTATTGCTGATTAGCGAAAGATTCATTAACAGACAATTAGCTTTACCAATAAAACAAATTAGTTCCACCTCGTGAATCCTGCTTAAAAAGGCAGCTTATTTGAAAAAAGTTGAGGACACAAGTATTGAAGAATACTGATCTACTGGTTATCACTTGACAACAGCAATGTGTGACGGAGACAAGAGACAACGTGAAGATAAGAGAGTTTCCAGTTTAAATACTCAAATTATCACTTTGATTTTCAGAGTACATGTTTTGTCATGCCGGCTCTAAAGATAACATAAATTTTTGTTTCCCCCCCTTACAGCTGTGTGATAGGTTGAACTACGCTCGTACACTAAGATCCAGTAGACTATTGTATGCGGATCGGGAAAAGGTACAGATTTGGTTATCGTCTGGAGCGACACGAACACACCGTCGACTTCGGTTGGCTGTAGTTGAAGAAGTCGAAGCTATTCTACCATTCATTTTTAACAACTGTCAACTGTAACACTGATATAGGCTGGGAATACACAATAATCTCCTCAAAATACACTGTTACATGCAATTATTTTTCTGTGACATTCTGTATCGGCGCAGAAGATCCAGTCCATCCAAATCCATGTGGATACTCGCAAAAAACACTGAGGAAGAAATGACGACGGACAAAAAGGAAGGGAGGGTAAAACTGACAGAACTAAAGCAAATGAACAACCACCAGATTTGCAAAGTGTTCTTGGACAACAACAACAAAAAACAAAAAGGTAAATACATATTGCACAAGTTAAAAAAAAGAAGAAAAAAAAAGCATCTCATAGTCTTTAAAGCAGATACAGACTAACTTCTGCCACTGATATCAACTAAGTAGAACAAGTGCTGTGTCTATCACTTTCAACAAAAAAAAATATGCTCCAGCACACACCAGCCCCCACTGCCTCCTGCTCCGAACACACCACAGATACTGTGCACAGGATGGCTGGGAGGTACAGTCAGCCATCCCATAATATGTCAGAAAGATGATTGATATAAAAAAAAAACTGCCATTTGTGTTGAGTGAAGCGTGAGGGCGCTGTCACCGTCACAGAATGATAATTACTGATTTTTTTTTAGTACTGTGGCGTCTGCGTGGCTCCCAGGAAAAGAGTCAGATGGAGGGAGCGAACAGCCCCGCACGATGGCTCGCTGTCCCAGAGACGCACAGTGAAAACCGAAGAGGGACGGGGCTCACTCAGCCAGCTGAGAGCTTCCACACTGGGACAGTCATGTCGCTGTTTCCCTGCTGCACAGTTTCCAAAAAAAAAACAAAAAACCCCAACCTCCTCCTCTTCCCGCTGTACAGACTCGAAGGATCCGAACCAGGTTTGCAGTACGACAAATATATTTATATTGTTTATTGGACTCTAAAAAAATAGTTTAAAAAAATAAAATGAGGGCGGGCTAGCAGCCAGCACTGAAGGGCGGACATTCAGAAAGATCTGTTTGCTCAGCGACTCGCTCGCCGTGGCTTCCGTTTTCCAGAGCAAGAGAGAGACAACTCCGAACCAAAGACGGCGGACGAGACCGTGGGCGGGCCGGGGTGCACCGACCGGCCCGCGACAATCTTCAACGGAGTTCTAACTCAAAGGCAACCATTTACAGTAGTATTCCAGCTTACATCGGCTTAACTAACAAAAGCTTTGATTGGTTTCTTAACAGTGAAAGTACGCCTCCTATGTGTGAGTATAATACTGAGTTTTAATTGATGCCATTTGTTCGGTAATAATAATAATTATAACAGTTGATATTATTATTTTACAAAATACTATGCACAATATACATAAAGCAATTTTTGTGACTAAATTAGTAAATGCTTCAATAATTGGCACATTAATCACCGCTAACAAAGATATCACAGTGCACTGTGAGCTACCGCTACGTTAAATACTCATCCAGCTACTGCTGAGGCCGACGGCGTCTGTCCAGCCAAACTAACCTCACGCTAGATAAAATCACTTTGTAGACGTTAAAGTCGAGATTACTATTTAGTTTTTCGGTAAAATACTAGTAAGCAAGATATTTGATCGTGTTCCTTTAATTTACTGAGGAGAAACAGTAGTTGTGGTCTTTGTGCATGCTCTTGCAAATGTTGTCTGCTGCTCCTGGAGCAGGCAAGACGTGACTCGTGACCTGAAATGTGTTGAAAGGAGCGAGCGGGGAAAAGAAAAAAAAAGAAAAAAGAATGAACTGCCCCACTGAGCTACGAAAAAACAAACAAAAAAAGCTGAAGGAGGCACAGGATCTCGTCTAGCTTTTCATCCCCAGACCAGTGATGCACAGTGCGACCGTCTCATCGGCCGAGAGCCTCGGAGAAAAAAAAACAAAATTCAGTCAGAGGGGGGCCAGGAGAAGCCCCCTGTGTTGCCCCTCACACCACCGTGCTGATGCCGCTGTGCTTGGGCTTGGTGCTGCTTGGGCCCTGGGAGGGCGGCGGCGCCGGGCCGTGGTGGTGGGAGCCGTGGGCGGGGTGGGAGGAGTGGCTGCCGTGGCCGTGCTGTGCGTGAGAGTGAGGGGGGTACGGCGGCTGCTGCCCGTGTGACGACGGCGGCGGGTGGTACTGGTGCGGGGGGTGCTGCAGGTGGGCCGGCGGGTGGTAGTGGTGGTGGTGGTGGTAAGGCGGGGGGTTCTGGGTCAGGTGGCAGAACTGGGCGTGGTGCGGGTGCATGGGGACCGAGCCCGCGTCCGTCTCCACGCGGGCCGTGTGGTGCAGGTTGGCCGGGTGGGGGGTGTGGGAGATGAGGGTGGGGTGCGGAGGGGTGGGGCTGGGGGACTTGACCCGCCTGGTGCCAAACAGAGATCCGAGCAGCGAGGAGGAGTTGGGCAGGGACTGGCCGCTGTGGCGGGACGGGCAGTCTCGGCTGGAGGGGGTTCTCCGCCGCATGTGAGGGCTGCTAATGATGGACCCCTGCAAGAGAGGAGAGGGTCAGAGCACGGAAACAAACAGCAGAAACTGTGGAATACTGCTGCTGAAGTTTTTGCATAGAAAAAGGCCTAATAGTGACTGAATCGCTTTGCAGTGTGCACAGCCTGGTTGGTGTTTTATCACAACAGCTGCATGACCTGCTACAGCTGATCTCAAATTTCCCATGATTGCTTGTGTTGCCTTGTGGAAAAGCGTCTCCATTTCCTTTTCCAGTTCACTGCCTCTGTTTGTCTAACCATGCTAACATCTCACGGTCGACTCTCTCTAAACGGTCCGGAGGCTCAGCTTGCCGAGCCCGTCAGAGCCCGCGGTATCTGCGCTGTCACGAGCAGACAAACAGCTTCTAAGTCCTCAGACTCTCTTTGACTGCTGATACTGTTGTGAGCTCCTGTCGCTGGTATATCTGGTTTCCAAGGTTACAGTGTGCTCTTTAATTCTCATCCTTCTTCGCTCCTGAGCCTGTATAGAACAACGTTGAAGCTGCAGCTGACATGTTGAGGTTCAATGACTTCACTGATGTGTGTTAAATTTCCACTCGGCACAAACAAACTCATATTTATCAAGCAGAGCAACAGACTTAACAGGTTAAATACAAAACAGTCAAAAGAAATGAAGCGCATCATTCAGAGCCATGCACGTAACATGCAAAGTGAAACTACTCACAGATGACCTTGAAAATTCTAAAATATCCAGAGTCTTGACTTATGATGTGTTCATGTGTTTTCATGAATTAATAATGCGTCTGATTAAACTCAAAAAAAGCCTCGAAAGCAACTCTGCGTCATGTTCTGAAGGATTTTAATATTGTTTGGCTGCTTTCAAGCCAGAGAGACGTCATGTTCTTCTGTCAATTTCAGGAAAGCATTCATTTAAGTTCTATTTGTGACCTGTTTTTAAATATTTATATCTTAAGCAGGAACTAATGAGATTCAGGCCATGGATATATGAAGGTGAACCAAGAGACCAAACCATTCTGCAGCACAGAATTCTGCTATAAAGGAACAAAAACATGCTTGTTTGTATTTCTTTAAACCACTTGTATTGGGAACAACCAAAAAAATCAAATAAAATTGCAGGGCTGCACGATTCAAATCCTCAGTAAAACACAGTGTTTTCAGTGTGGTAGGTTCCTGGAAGGAGGTTGTTTGTGTTGTTTCCTGTTGCTGAAGTAGATTTTAAAAATGGCAGAAGAGGAGGAGAAAGTTGGGTAACACTTTATAATAACTATCCGTTATAACTAGTTAATAGATCATTTGTAAACTGTTAATTAGTGAGTTATTAACCACTTGTTAAGTCATAGATCATGAATGTTCACGATCTATGACTGGTTTATAAGGTATGGCTGTAAATCATTAATATACAGTTAACAAGTCATTTATAACTCATTAACAGTTTGTAAATGTTTATTAGCTATCTATAGGGCATCGTTATAAATCATCAACAAACTATTAACAAACACTTAATAACTCACTACTTAACAGTTTACAAATGATCTATTAACTAGTTATAACGGATAGTTATTATAAAGTGTTACCGAAAGTTGCCTGGAATGTGGCAGGCTTATACCCGCAGTCTACATCTGATGAGTCAGACTGAACTGAATTGGACACCAGATTACAAGATGGCACCTTATTCATTTGAATGAAAGTGGTGCACACAGTGAAAAAAAAAAAACTCAGTAAGGAGCATGTGTAATAATGGCCTCCTCTGGCTTCCTGCACACATGAACAGAATAAAATAAAGTCACAGCTCATTGGACTGTGCAATGCTTTCACTGGATTTGTGACACTTGGAAAAAGATATTCAGAATTTAAGCATATTCTGATGATTAGATATTTGTGTGCATCCCATGAAGAACACAGTTATGGCAACACTGTTGGTTGCTAAGCTAACTGCTGCTACTGCAGATCGCAGCACTATTCCTGGAGGCTTATTTCAGACTGAATAATGAAGGAAGTGATGACTAACAAATTGTTGGACAATAAGAAAAACATATTAACACCAGCCTCCTTTAAAGTCTGATAGCTCTGATCGATTCAAGCTAGCACAGAACTAAACGGCTTGTCTCAAATCATCAATCCAAGCTAACTCAATTAGCCACATCCAAAATAGATCTGATCACTCTGTCTTTAATTCTACACTCAGTTAAGGATGTGATATTACTTTTTATTGCAAAGCCTCATATATGTTATTTATTGATTATATTTTTTATTTGGCAATTAACTGCTAACTAAAGTCAATGTGAACACAAGTATAATATTTCCTTCTCACAGGAGTGAAGAACCTTAACTTAAATACCTCAAAACTGAGTAACGGTGCCCAGAACCTGCGTTGGATAAGTGTGACAGTAAAAACAAAAGCAAAAGGTAGTAAACTTGTGGTGAAGGTCAGGGGTCAGTGAGAGGAAGCAGCGCGAGTCGGTCACTTCAAACTGTGTGAGCATGCAGGAGCTGACGGAGCACGGGCGGCTCCGCTCAGAGAGAACAAAACCAAGGACAAAACTCAGGAAAAAGCTAACCAGCTACACAAGAGAGAACGACTCAAAGGTGAGAGTGTAACAGAGCAGCTCTGACGTGAGTCGGGAGTGTCGTGTCATGCCGTGTGAAGGGTTAACGTTCCAGCCACAGCAGCAGCAGCATCATTCCCGTTCAGCCTCAATGCATGCACAGCGACCGAGGTGCTCAGAAAAAAAAAAAAAACACACCACCAAAACAGAAAAGAACACCACAAACAAACAATAAAACAGACTTGCGTGTTCACAGTGAACATAAAGTCGGAGGACAGCTCGGCATCGGTTGCGTCCTACTTACTTCCATATTGCTGTCTAGTGATCCTGCACTGCTGCGTCTCCCACGCTTGCCTGCCCAGAACATGTGACATGACAGATCAGAAACGCCTGGTTAACATGTGGAGGTGCACACATCCCTTCTGTCTACAACGGGAGGATACTAACCGCTAAGGTGGCACATGACTAGCAAGCAGCGGGCTGATCGTAAGGCGGAGGGAGGAGAATACCAACTAAAGGAAAGAGAAGAAACAAGCTCCGAAACGAGGTCAGCGTCAGATCTCGTAAGGTTTCTACACAGCAAACCCGAGGCACTGCTGGCAGGAGACCTTCCCATTAGGAAATCAGTGTAATCTGGCTGCATTAGAGGGATACGCCAGCAATTTATTGGCATTAAGGTGAGATAGATTTTTTAAAAAAGGGATTAAAATCGAAGCATCAGAGGCCAAGATATTCTAAATTTTAGCCTCTGGTAATGAGTCATCATACAAAATCCTTAGACCTACATTTGCTGTCATTCAACCCTTCCTGCCTGGTTATTGTCTTGGATGCTTTTGTTTGAAAAATTGTAGGCTCCAAGCTCAAACCAAGACCAACATTATCACGTCGTTATGATATCAAAAGGATATAAAACCAACTACGTAACCCTCGCCATGACTTTTAAACTGTCCTTCTGTAAAACTGCATCTATAAAGTTTCTCAATAAAGGAAAGTAAAGCTCCAACATGAAAATCAGCTGTAATTTCAGTCACTGTGAGTGCTGCACAAACACCTCCTGAAGGAAACATAAGGCCTCCAAAATCCACAACAGGTTATAAAGCAGGGGTGTCAAACTCCAGTCCTCGAGGGACGCAATCCTGCATGTTTTAGATGTTTCCTTCTTCCAACACACCTGATTCAAATGATCAGCTCATCATCAAGCTCTGCAGAAGCCTGATAACGATCCTGATCATTTCAATCAGGTGTGTTGGAAGAGGGAAACATCTAAAACATGCAGGATTGCGGCCCTCGAGGACCGGATGTCGACACCCCTGTTATAAAGGCTGCCACTTTTTTGGATGACTGCAGAAAGCATCAAAAAAGCCAAACTCATTTCACTAGTTGATGTTCCTTTACCAGTCTGAGGTCACACAGTGCGCTGGTGCAGAGCAGCTCTGTTGTGGCGACCGTCTACACTCTGCCTGAATCAATGGCGTAACATTAATTCTTCTTACCGCTAAGACGCTCAGATTGATCGCAGTGACCTACATAGTGCCGCCTCTCCCTCCCTCGCTGGTGACACAGGATTATTAGTTGATAGTCTCTAGTAAATTACACCTGGGCCCATTAGTAAACACACCCATCGCCATCTCTTCACTGGCTCAGAGACGTTGGCAGGCAGTCGCCGTGGCCAACCTCCCAAACCAGAACTGCAGCAGAAACCCGACTTCTTCCAAATCAATTAACGTTCAAAAGGAGCAACTAGTATCATGCCAGCATCCAGTTCGGGTGAACACTCTACTCCGCCTAGCAGAGGGGATGAGACCTGGGATGGTATGCTACCATGGCAACCTCCGACTTTACCTGCTTCTGAGAGGTCACGCAAGGAGCTGCTGAGGGCGCTCCTCTTCAGGCCTTCACCGATGGCGTAGCTGTCGTCGAGGCTGGCTCGGCTCAGGTTGCCGTTTCCCGTGTCCTTCTTTAACCCCGAACTCTGGGACATGCTGGGTCTCACCACGCCCTTCTGTTTTTCTAGCTCAGCTGTGCAGGGGAGACATACACAACATGAGTAGGAAGACTTCTCTCTTTTGTGTATTTGCAGTGATATAATACTACACTGATCAGGCACAGCTATTAAACTCCTGACAGGTGAAGTGAATGATCATCTTGTTACAATGCCATCTTCTGCTGGGACAGCTTGGTTCCTGGCAGGTGTGTGGATGTTAAAAAATTGAAGCATTTTTTGGCCTCCAAACTCATCTGATCCTAATCGAATCGACCGTCCACATAATGTGCCAGAACAGGAAGGGTATACAGGTGGATTTAATGTTCCCATATGGTTAAAATCCAGTTTTATTGTGTTTTGTGTTTGTTATACACTTAAAGGTGGAGAGCAGGGACAATATTGGGACATTTACGCCTGGCGTTCCTCCAGCCATCCAACAACCATAGAGCCTCTTGGCTTTACTGAGCTGCTACGTTCCAACTGAGGAACCAATAGTCACTCAAACGTTGCATAATCCTGCCCACTGCTTCAAGGTAAACAATTCAGAATTAGCAGCTACCTCTCACTTCACCAGGTTTGTTTACTTTCTAGAGCTGCTTCTGCTTCAAAGCAAATGTTCTGGGGTAATACGATCATGGTGAAATTAGTCAATTTTGTTAAATTCTGATCTGAAAAATTGAAAGACATATTCTCTGTACATGGGAGACTTCTATTAGTTTGCTGAAAAGTGGCACACTATGAGACCTTTAATGTTGTGAATGACAGGCGTGTGCTTTCTACTCGTTGAAAACTCAATATGTAAGAAACATAACATGAATGTTCTGCTCACATTCTATCCGGTACTTCTCCATCTCTTGGACTTCTGCGATCGATTCTCGCAAATCGTCGGTGAACTTTTTGCGGTCCTGAGGATTGGGTGCATTGAAGTTGATGAGGACTTTGATGTCAGCGCCGGGAATGGCTGAGGTCAGGCGAACTCCGTTGGGATAATCTGGAGAGTGACGACGACAATTTGCTTTAACCCACATCCATACGAAATACAGGGATAATGAATAGAGACTATGGTAGTAGAGTGTTTTTAATACAGCAACTGATAGAACTTATGGTACCATTAGATGTATATAAGTGGCAAACAAAAAGCATGTCGGATACTGAAACCGTCCCTTCATAGACGTCAGAAAGGCATCTATCTTTGTAATTTTCTGAAAATCTGCAATCAGCAAGATCTGTTTTTCATTTTTCCAAACTGCTTCTGTCAAATTTTGCATGTAAAAGAAGTCAGGACTCCCACACCCTGTTTTTTTAAACTACAGTAACATTATTGGAAATATAAAATTTTATTCTATGGAGCTTCAGTAGGTAGAAGTGAGGGACAAATGACAAGCCATGCAGATATAGTAAAGACAGTGTTGCATTATCTACCTAGTTATGGATATTTAGTCTTGTGCACCTGTCTTCAAGAAGCTGTAGGTGTGCATCTTAAAGTCAACATTGTGCAAATGACTGCATCACCATGAGTGCATAAAGGTGTGCACACTTATTCCCATTTGTATAACTCCCTGCTGTTATTTCCCCTCTATATGATTTTTGCCCTGTGTTACACTGTGGCCATTCCAAACAGGTACAAATGTGTTCAGAGGTGTTTACCACAAGCTATTTGTTTACATCACACCACAGTATAAGCTCTGTTTCCACCACAGGAACCTTCCTCTGCGACTTTCTGAATGGGTTATCGACTGGAGCAACCAAGGTCGGAAATAAGTTCCAGGGAGATTGTTTCAGTACCGAAAGTTTAGGTAGTCCCTAAACGTAATGTTGAGAAACTTTCTGCACTTTTCACCTTGCTGACAAGTTTCTTTCCATTTTCCTGCCACCATTTGTAACTGCTAACAGTTTATTTCATTTTTGTTCACTGCAACTTAACACAGAAACATGGAGCTACAGAGGAAATCCTGAACGGATGACGTCCAGGCCTTGAGACAGCGACCCACAATGAGAAGGTCAACCTTAAAGTTTCATGAGCCTATTTTTTCTTACTTTCATATCCTAGTTGCAAAACAGATAACAGAGGACTAAAGAAAACTTAAAGTTCTGGGACTTTTGGGGGAAACTCAGCTCCACTTATTCTTTCATGAACAGATATGGAAATGAAACTTACACTGATTCTCAAAGAGCAGCACTTGCATGCCATAAAGCGAGAAGGACTGCCGAAAGCTGTACGTCACAGAGTTCTTCTTCTTCTGGAAAATTTTTGTAACCTAGAAAGGAAGCACAACAGTTTGTTTATTAACTTTCGATGCACCAAGTTTTGTTCTCAGTGAGCTGAAAGAGGAATATCCGCCGTACCACTAGCAGGTCGTTGAAGAGGAAGATCTCCCTTTGGTGCAGGCCCAGCTTCTGTGGTTTGTTGGGGTCGGGCACTTCAAAAAGTCTGCAGTAACAGACGAGTCTCCGGTGGGGTAAAGATAGTACCTGCACACACGATACAGCATCGTCTCTGAGTCGGTCCCTTGTTGGTTCACAGGCGGCTTTCAAACATGTAGCTTGATACAATCCACAGTGTTTACATCTTTTCCATAAAAAATATATTCAAATATTCTCAAGATATAAATAACTGAGAAAGTAAAACTTACGCAGCCAAGACCATGGTGTAAAGAGCCAATCTGAGGAATGAGAAGAAATATATTTTCAGGAACTTTTGTGATACAAAACAGAAAAGAAAGTTTCAACAAGAGACATGTGCCATATTTAAAATCGTGAAAAAAAATCAGCATGAAGGTCTCCAACCCTGAAGAATTGATGCGTCACACAGAGAAGAAAGAAGATTCGGGTAAAGAATGCTCTTTCATTTTCAGAGATGGCGCCCATGAATAAGCCTGTTCTGTCTGTGGCAGCTCAGAGGTACGTTTGGTAATTTGGTTTGGAATGTTCCTGCTCAATTCAGCCCTTAAATAAAGCGGAAGATAAAAGTGGTCACACTCTACATGCAGAAGCCCAAGGGCAAGCTCAAACTTACAGGCTTTTTTCCAACAATCAGCTTCTCCACTTTCTGAACCTGAGACACGTGGTCTTCATTAGTCTTGAGCTCTCGTTTGCGAATCCGTTCGTATATCCCTACCAGCATTTCCCGGGGGATGTCCTCCCCGTCATCCACTCCTGTCAGAGGATGAGAGGGAAAGAGAGAGACGGAGAGAGAGAGAGAGAGAGAGAGGAAAAAAGAAGGATTAATCATTAATGCACAGATTTATGAGAGCCGATGAACTCTCGAATTTACTTACATACTGCCGCGCTGCACATATATCTCACAAAGCACAAAGAAATGTCCTTCACGGCTCTCTGAGGACAAGTATTTCTCCTGCACTCAATACTGTACTTTAATTACTGACACTCCAATAGGCAGAGAAATTAGTTAGTCATGCCATAAAGCCCTTTGCTAATACCCTGAAAATCTGTTGAGGGCAACTAAAAAGTGCTTTGCTTCACCAACAAAGCTTTCTTGGCCGTGACTTACTGCAAAAATTAATACCTTCCTGACACGGCCATTAATCAAGGCAAAATGCATGCACAATACTCAATTTGAGGGGAATATTTATCAGTGACGTCTTAAGAGAATATATATTTTTTTTTTGTGACAGTAAGCTGGACATGGTGCAGGGAGGCAGAACAAAGTACCCCGAAGGTTCTTCACAAAGTCCTCCAGTTTCATCTTCCTCTCGGGCTTGACGTTGGGGCTGTACATGTCTGTGTTGAGGAGGATGATGGCAAAGGCCAGGATGAAGATGGTGTCGGGGTTCCTGAACTGTCGCACCACCCCAGGGTTGCAGATGCAGTAGCGTTGGCTGGAAGGAGAATAGCAGACACAGGAAATCAAACTTGAATTAATAGGCATTATTGTTGCAAAGAAATCAGCAAACACTGAGGAGCCAAAACTTTGGAACCACCGCTTATAAAAAAGCCATTGGTGCTTGGTGTGTGGCCAAAGCAGATTCATCTCGCCTAGGTCTGGACTTAACCACATCCTCGATAGACATGGCATCTGGCACCAGGTTGTACAGCAGACAGCAGATTCTTTAAATCCTGTAAACTGCATGTTGCATTTGCTGCAGTTCAGATTTACTGTCAACTGGTTTGTATGTCCTTGGAGCACTGGCGGTAGGTACTCACCACAGCTGACACCATTTATACTATTTTGGAAAGGCTCAAAACCCAGTCATCAAGTCCTAGCAATTTGGTTCTTGCCATAGTGACCTTGTTCAGGTCTTCACACCTGCCTATATCTCATCTGACTACAAGAACTACGTACTGACTGAATGAAATTTTGGTTCTTGTATTAACAAAAATGAAGAAATCTCTATTTTTAAGTATGGGTGTAAATGTACTCAGTCAGCACTGTTATTTTTAATACAATGTTGTTTAAGTAGTTGCTCAAAAAAAGTCATTGTTGATGTGCACATCTTTTTTGTATTTCTTTAAACCAATGTTGTGCAGCGCTAAGCCCAGGATATGTTGATGGTGTCCCTGCAAAACAGCAACGAGGGCGAACTTGTATTGGATGAACATTTTGCAGGCAGGGAGGCAAGCACTGTCTTTAAAATGGCTATTTCTTTTTAAAGTTACTTTTTTGGCCTTTGTTGGATCGTGTTAGTGAGAGAGAGACAGGAAAGTGGGGGAGAAGAATGGGAGGAGGACATGTGGGAAAGGGTCATGAGCGGGATTGGAACTCATAACCTCCACATTGGGACTGTAGTCCTGCACATGGGACGCCAGCTCAACCAGGTGAGCTATAGCGGCGCCCCTTAAAATGGCTTTTTCACCAAAACAGCACAGCCGGTCCATCATATGGCACAATCCAAGTCTTGTTGTTTCACGCAAAAAATAGGATTTAAAAAAAGGCAACATGCAGATAGCAAAGGAGGATAGTCAACAGACAGTCAACTAGTGGTGGGAATCAATATCTCACACTGTATAGCCCCACTTCTAAACACAACTTGCATGTTACCCCAGTTGCTGTGAGTTTATACAGTCTGTTCATTTCCCACATTTGGATGCGTAAATGAAAGATGGCTACATTCAATCCATCTGTAATATGGGACGAACACAACTCCGCTGACGATGACAACATCTACTAGGAGTTAGTGCTGACATCAGACTTAAAGCTTCGGCAGTTTCCACATATACTCTTTTTCTGTTAGTAAATAAATGTTCTGACTGAACACTTGACAACTCCAAGTAGTAAATGCGCACGCATCAGTACGAAGATTTCCCTTCAAGGCAAAATAAATCCGCTTCCCTGTTAGTGATTAGTTCCATTTCTGGAGTATCATTGATGTTAGTGATATAATGTTGTGCTTTCTGCTTCACGGTCGCCATATATAGTTAAACGACGCTTCATAGCTTCTAGTAACATTGAGCCAGGACCAGTGAAGCCTGTCAATACAGCCTGCATCCGTCACACAGGCCATTTCAGAGTCATCATGAAGCGAGCCTGTGATCATATCATGGACTGGGCTGCAGGCAACCACCAGATGATCAGTTATCTTTATCTCCCCAGTGTAGCAGTGACTGCAGTGTTTACTGAGGCCGAAATGTCCTTGTTTAGTGCTGATCGAAGCAAATTCTCCGTGGGCATGAGAGCACCTTTCTTACTGGAGGTTTTGTGAAAGTAAATGAGGCACAAACAACATCCATCAGTTGGCCCTGGGGGAGGTTTTACTCAACTTTTCTGAACTAATTTTCTCTAAATTATTTTCTGGTCGAACAAAGTCTGGATTTGAAATGGCTTTGCGCTGCTCCACTGATCTTTGCTCGCGAGTATTAAATTAAGATAGTGACTTTTTGGTGTCACCTCTGTTTCGGAGCATAATGGCGTTTTTGAAATGGTGCAAAGCTGGCGTGTGCTGTCCATTAATCACACGCGCTACGTTGGTGGTAAATACTACACATGGCAATGAGCCCAGTAATGACCATCCCGTCACATAATCAGTTGGTTTTAAGCTGATGTACGGCTGCATTTGAGGAAAAAAAAAACTTTTTTCCCGCCCCTTTTAAGTGGAAGCGCTACATAACTTGGATAATCTAAGCCATCTGGTTTGGGAAGTGAAGCCATGTCATAGGTTGTGTCCCCAGCTTTCAGAGGAGATTCTCACCTGTAGGCCTCTATCAGCCGCTCGACCTTCTGGGCTTCTCCCTGGACTCTGATGTGTGCCTGGAATTTCCTGAGCGCTTCGTCCAGCTCCATGGCTGAGAAATCCATTTCATCCACCACGCAGCTGGCGAAAAAAACACACAGTTTGCTTTTCACATTCAACAAGAGATACGTTTTACCTAAAGCAGCACTAATAATTGTTTTTAAGCACAAAAAATTCACACCGAGAGCAGCGTCATACACAGATGTATTTACTGAAAACAGAGACTGGTGAGGCTGAACCACTAAGCCAGTAACCATAACAGTAAAGTTACCAAAACAAGCGAAATGATGAGAACTGCAGAGTTGAGGGATAATCATTTGCTGGTGATCCCTTTGCATTTTGCATATCGTTAGCCTCATAGCATAATTGCCTAAGTCATTTTTTGGTCAAATTGAGATATTTGCATAAACTTACCCCCCCAACAACTCCCCAACAACCCGGCCTTCCAACCAAGGCAATGGCCAAACAAAACCGGGTGAAACGAACGGTAAAAAAAATCAATAATAAATACCAAAGTCATTTCTAAAAATCGTATTTTTTCTCATTTCCCAAAAACATAAAAATATGACTTAGGCAAGTATGCTATGAGACTAATGATATATTAATTTGATCCATTGTTTATATACAAATGTGGATTTGTGCAGCTTTGTCACAGGATTTCTGTTTGACATTTAGTTTTTTTTTTTCTGCTCTCCTGACACTTTCACTTAAATAAAAGGACAGTGAGCATTTCTTTCTCCTCTGAGAAGGGGATTGTGACTCAGCTCACCAGAGCTCTATTACCTTGATACCTTGCATGTCAGGATTTATAGACATTTTCTCAAGGAGCCCTTTAGATATGCCTGTCAAACTGACACCATTGGACCTTTTCTAGCCTTATCCTCCACTGAATCTCAATGGGCTTTGATAGCGCTGCTGTGCTTCAAGTATGAATCAGATAAGTCCGTCCAGTCTAAAGCATAAAGCAGAGGCTGTATTTTAACGACGTAAAGGATCACTACTTGAAAATACAAGCTCTTTACAGCTTCCCCTCTTTATTAAAAAGGACTGGGGAATATAAATAGGACCTGTATGTTTATCTGAACGTCACATCAATTTCCTGAGTGGATTCTATTTCTGTTTATTTCCTGTATGTAACTCAAGTCATTATGTAGTCCTCAGAAATTTCAAAGACTTGTTTGAATGAGGGTAGATTGCAAACTGCCAACCCTATTTGCAACTAAATGATGATTTATGTTTACGTTCCTGGAAATAACCTCAAATTCTGTACGCTGGCATTGGTGGCAAGTTAAATCAAAAAGTCTGAAATAATCGACCCAAACTTGCAAACACACACCAAAGAGTACACAGATAGGAAATGCTGCAAACTCACTCAAGGACATCCCGGTTGAACTGTTTCTGTCTGTTACCCAGGAACTCGCCAATCATCTGCCTACTCAAGCCTTTCCTCTGGAGCAGGAAGTGGGCCACACCCACCGGAGTGTCTGGAACAAAGTTTCGCTCTATCAGATACTGGATGCCTTTTTCTGGTTTCCTAGAGACACAGGAAAGAGGAGAGAGACAGAGAGGGAGAGACAAAAAAAGGGAAGGAGTGAGGACGCGATCCAAATCTGTGATTATCCCACTGCACTCCTGCCCCGAGCCAAATGTGTGTCAGATGAGGGACAGGATTTAGAGAAGCAAGGGGGGAGCGAGGAGGTAGCGAGCCAGAATGTTGATCACAAATGATTAAAAGAAACTTAATAGTCGGCTCCAAAAGAAACCAAATCCACAATCATCTATGATTAAACAAAATCACCCAGCCTCAGATGAAGCGCTCTGCATGAAGCGGAGCAGAATGAGTCCCGGGCTCGTTTGACACCTTAAGTAGAACAGCCAGATAGTCGCGTTTTAATCAACATCACTGCATATTTATCGTACACGAGAGTTGTAATCGAGTAATGAGCTTCATCGAATTTACATAACCTGCTTTGTCCTTCCCTTGGATATGTTATGTGTGACTGGATCGTTTTGAGGCTACAAGGTTCAAGCAGAGTGTGTCTGGCTCAGGGATTATTTTAAAGGATGTGGTGCAGTAGAGAGTACATACTTGTTGAAGAGGTTTAGGCCAATGCGGTAGTGCCTCTTGCGAATGATGTCGTTGCTGAATGCAGGTGAGTCCCAGCTGTTGCGAGTTTCTTTGTGGTACGTCTGCTTGCTGAGCGTCTGTTCCCTCAGGCTGTCCCTGGACGAGGACTCAGAGCTGCAGTTGATGGTGTCGTTGGAGTTCGATGTGCTGTTGATGCTGTCGTTGTCACCGTCAGAGAAATCAGACTCTGACTTGCTCTGTCGGTTTGCTGTACCGTTGATGGCCAGGTGGGCCTCCAGTTGTCGGGGCCGATGGCGAGAGGCGTCGTCTTCCCTGGAAGGCCCTCGAGGTGGCAGGCTGTGGCTGATGTGTTTGGGGCTGCTCTGCTGGTTGCTGAGGCTCCGCTCGTAGGCGTTTTGTCTCTTCAAAGAGCTGCGGTCAGAACGATCGCTCAGCTCCACAGAGCTGTCGCTGGGAGGCTCTATGGTCAGTAAAGGTAGATGGTCTACCCGCAAACGCTGCTCTTGGCATTCTAAGGAAGGTGTGCTGCGGCAGCTGGTGTCCGTGTCCCCCTTTTCGTCCTTATGAGCCAAGGACCAGTAGTCCTGGGAGGAGTTGAGGGAACGCTGACGCAAGTCCGACTCTGTGCTGGAGGGTCGATCTACGGACTGAGACAGAGGCAGGGGGGGTGACAGCTCTTCTTCATCAATGTAAAGGGTTACATCGCTGTAAGATGCTGTCATCTCGTCCAGTTTGCGGTGTTCTGAGACGTGGGAGGGTTTCACCTGACAGCTGACCTCCCTGTCCATATCCTGGTGGCCTCTTCCCGTCTCTGATGGACTGTCGTCACCATGCAGGCTGCGGCAGTTTAGAGCATCATCAATGGACTCGGCTAGAGATTTGACTTGCCTGGAGAAGGCATCCTCTAGTTCTGTGATGGCGTCTGTGAAGTCACTCTGCGTTGTCGGGGTTTTGGCTTGCACACCCATCTCTCCACTATGCTCTGACTGCACCAATGCACCGATCTTGGTCCCGTCATCTGTTAGCGAGACCTGCTTTCCCTCGAAGTAGGAGCTGTGGACTTTTTCAGGTCCTTCGAAGGAAAACTGCATTCTCATATTGGATAGGACAATTCGTCTGGACATACGGTTCTCAGACATAGAACTTCTCAGACGCTCAAAATTCTTGTTCATCTGGTACTGGCGGAAGGCTGTCTGGATGGTGCGGGCAGCATGCCGGGTTATGAAACGCCCACCATATTTGCGCTCTAGCATCTCCACCTGCAGGAGGAGAAGGAAGAGTTGGTTTTGTAAATGCCCAAAAGACACACATGGGAACACTGTATGTAAATAGTCCCTCAGCATTCTTATGATAACTCAGTCATGAAAATGCTCCCTGTAATGGGACAATTTGTGACTGTGAAAATGTAGCATCAGGGACACGGACAGTGATTGTATATTATGACAGGTTCTGTATTTCTTATATTAAATGTGCACCTTGTAATCTTGAAAAGGCAGCAGCAAAATTGAGTGAAAAGGCTCATTCCTGAACTGGAAATAGAGGTTTGACAAAAACCTCTGTTGGTACTAAGAGGACTCAGCTGTTATCACACAGCCTAAGCAAAGAAACTTTGACTCACATTACACTTACAACATGTGAACCTTAACAATCCAACTAACTGCGTTCTACATGCTACTGTAAACTAACTGAATGACAAGATATACAATTGTGGTTGGAGGTTTGCATACACTCATCATGGACATGAATGTCTTGGCAATATTGGGCTTTCACTGATTTCTTTGATTGTTCTTTTGGGGCAAAATGATTGTAGCCAACGCCAAAGGCTGTGAAGTTTCTGGTAGTGATGATGATTGATCACAGCTGGTAGCATCTCTGTGCCAACATTGAAAGCATGTGTTTGCCAGCACTGTTTGGATTGAACAACACAGTACAATAGGAAAGTCGCAGGGGATCAGTGCAGGTCTGAGAAAGAGGACCGTAGATTTGCAAGTCAAGTCGAGAACCTTTCATTTAGTCATTTGTAAACAACTGCAGACCTTAGGGTGACTAAAACAACAGTACATAATAACTACAAGTTATTGGGACCTGTAAGTCTGGAATAAGGCTCAAACTGTCACCTTTAGCTTAAGGGTCAGATGGGACCAAGATTGAGTTGTTTGGCCACAATGACCAAGAGTAAAGGTGAGGCTGTCAATGCCAAGAATGCTGTACCAGTTGTTAGGCATGGTGGTGGTAGCATCATGCTCTGGGGCTGTTTTGCAGCAAGTGGAGCAGGTACATTGCATAAAGGGATAATTTAAAAAAAGGGTTTCATAGTAACATAACCTCAACTCATCAGCTACATTACTGAAACTTGAGCATTATTGAGTGTTCCAACAGGACAATGACCCCAAACACATTATAAAGTTGGTTGTGAAATAGATAAAACAGTCTAACAATAACATTTTGGAAACCATCTACAAAGTCTTGACCTCAGCCCTATCGAAAAGTTCTCAAGAAGAATGGTTAAATATCCAACTGGAATTATGCCAGAAGCTTGTTGATGGCTAACATATGAATGGATAAGATAAAACTTGCCTCGAGACCAAACATTTGGTGTATGTATAATTTTGACTCTGTTTTCAAATTTGTATACCAAAATCTTTTTTTTTTCTATACCAGATGGGCGTTTTACAATTATTCCTTTCCAGAAAAAGACCAGCTCAAAAAAATCAAAGCCTAATCCTGCCATGGTGCCATGTGCCGATGGTGATTGCATGTAAACTTCCAACCACAACTGTGCCTATAATTAGGATGGTGTCCAGTGCTGCATTACATTAGCCCACCCTCTCAACCCTGTACCTTTTACACACTGACCTAGTTATCCACCTATAGACCCATGGTGTAAAATGACACTAATCATGTTTTCGTGCTGTATGTGAGGGCCAAGGAGGCAAGTGGACTCAAACTTGCCACAAGGAACATGACAGTTAGCTTCAGTATAACAGGCTACAACTGTCACTGTTTAACAAGAGGTCGCGGTGTCCTTCCCACACAGATGTAGCTGCATGGCCACCAGGCCAAATTAGACTACTTTTATTTGACTGCTGCGAGGAGGTTCAGTCCGACAGCAGCGAGTGAGAGGCAACATATAGTAATAACCTTCAGATAATGTATGGCTGATGAAGGTGCAATAAATATGTTTCGCTATTTACTGGCAACTTATTACATTGACAGCTTGATGTTATATCTTATAAATAATTCAGAAGGGCAATTTGTCTAATTTGATCAGCTTTATGTGACAGTGACTGCACTGTCAGTAATCCTGCGCTTCAGGTCCTCATGGATCCATTTGGTTCCTGTTGTTTTTCTGGGGATCTGTGTGTCGACACATGTGGTAGCCAAATAGATCCAAGCAGGTTTTGACTACGCAGTGGGTGTGTTTGGGCTGGCCACATTTTGTAACAAGTCTAATTAATGTCGGGCCAATTTGGGCTAGGCTCATTTTGCATCTGTAAGAAACTCTCCTTTATAGCTCCTATAAAAATATAAATAAATGTGGCCCCATTTAAGCCCCATTTTTTAATTGGTCAGGTCATTTGTTAAGGTTTATATTACTGCAGGGCCTTAACATTAATATTTAATGTAGTAAGGTAAGTTTGTATCATATGACTTAGTGAGGTTTTCGCTGCAACGTTTACATTATTCACGTACATTCCCTTCATAAATAACACTGTCGGGGTTCAATCCTACTATTCAGGCTTGCTCAGTAAATTTGCAACGTCAATCTTATTTCTCTACGGAAAAGGTGTCTGGCTGAATCACAAACATATTAGGTTAGGTCTGAGTGATGATTCAATATGATCCTTTATCAATACTGTGCTATCATTTTACAAAACGCTGTTGTCCAAATTAAAGCTGTGTAAACGGATTGTTGTTGGGCCACTTGGGGCAGTTGTAAACACAACTTAATAAACTAACAGCCAACATGTGAGCAAAAAGTCACCGAGCATACACAGAGCGAGACGAGCATTAATATGAAGTTGTTCTTTTTCTTTTGGGTCTGTTTTGGGTCACATAAAACCTTCTCTTCTGCTGCTAAATGCTCCACAAATTAACTTCCAAAATCAACAACTTAAAGGTATAAAGTATTCTTTTAGGGTTCTGTCAGACGTAATACACAAGTGGTTTTTGGAAACATGTTCAAATATTCTGTCATGACATATAGTATCTACTGGGAAAACATTTTTATTGACATTGTTTCCTCGAGTGTGAACAAATAGGACTTTGTGCATCCGACCCTCCCCCTCACCTGCTTGTCCTGTAGGTCAGATGAGAGCTCATAGCTCTCCGACAGCGAGCGGGAGCGCTTGATGGCCTCCTCCTCTGCCTGCTTGCGGAGGATGGACTGCGAGTGCTGGAGCTTCGGCCGGCGGGGCCGCAGGTGCCCGGGCAGCAAGATGTGTCCGTAGAGCTGGCTGTCCAGGTGGTCGGGACCGAGCCCGCCGCTGTGGGTCACTGGGATGCAACTGTAGCCACCGCTGGGGTCCACAGAGGCTCCCACCTCACCACCCGGAGCATCACCTTCCACACTGCAGCACAGAAACACACACAAAGCACGCTATCTTAGTCTGCTGAGTCATTTTCCTGAGAGCAAAGAGCACGTGACAGCTGGAAAAAAAATGAACTTTGATACTGCTGGCAGGGTATAAATACGAGTGGGAGAATTTATAGAAGCAGTCTGAGTGCTGCCTGTCGTCTTTACACATTGCCTTCACAATGCAGAAACGTCCTCGTGTCAACCTAAACAGCCACAAGACTGAAGCACTACGTCTTGGGTAGAAGAAATGAAATGCCTATGAATTAATTATGACCATTAAAGAACCACTCAAAGTTCGACAAACACTGAAATCACCACGTCGTCAAAGCCTCAATCTTCCAGCAAAAAAGCAAAGCGACACAACGTCAGGGCTGATTAAAGCGCGTGAAGCTCGAATATTAAGATTAATACAGATCTTTGTGTACTCGCAGCAGCACAAACACCGGCCTGGACAGCTGATTGGTTAAACCCACAGTGTTGAGCAACGACCGACCACGCCAGACCTGCAAGCAGCTAAATGTCAAACCGCACTTCCCTTCACTTTTCTCCACACCTCTGACACTGCTGTGATTGGCTGACAGGAACCAAAGTACCCTGTGTTTTGGTACGAGGAGACAGCTCTCTAACTACTACTACTACACAAAAAAAATCAAAGCAGAAGAAGAAGAAGAAGAAGACAGCAACCTGATCAGACTGCTGTTTGAATGTGTGAAATAACAAGCTGTCCCTCTCCAGAGACGGACGCTTTGATTTTAAGAAGCCTTTTTTTCCCCCCTCTTTGTACAGAGGCAGAACTGGATGCTAATATAAGCAGATTAAGTACATATTATTCTGCCATAGACGTTTCAGTGAATTATATAAATTAGAAGCCAGTTGGGCATAGAGGGATTGCTGACATGAGAACAAAGATGACATCTAAATATATCAAAGTGGGGGAAAAAAATCTATATATGCATCTATAGGTGCACACGTCTTAGCTGTAGGTTATGCATTAACATGTTCTTGCAAGCCTCCAAAATAACAAGTAACGGTATTATTGGAAACTCTACTGCCACTGAGTGTTCTTGCTGTGAGGGGAAAGTGCACCGTAATGCCGCCCCCAGAGAAGAACCTGTGGTCCGTCATCAAGGTTAGTTTGCATGGAAGCACATGTACATCATGCTTGCCTTCAGGTTGTGGTCTGAAGAAGGCCAACAATCAAAAAATATTAAAATGCCAAAAAAAATACAAATAGCGACGGACACTGTGCTTGAATATCTCAATATCTGCAAATCAGAAACAAGCATAACCATGTCTGTGAGGAGTTGGACAGCAAACATATATGTAGTTTCTTCATGAAGCAGAAGCACAGTAGTTTACAACGCCACAGCCAGAAAACAATAAATCCACGTTGCAGGGTGCTGTCCAATTGCTGCCTAAATACCATCTGACCTTGTATCAGCAGCACAGTCAATAAGTCAGAGAGAAAAATGTCTCCAATTCATCAAGCTAGAGGAGTGAAGAGACACTATTATGTGGCTATGAGGCCAGACTTTAAAAAACAAATTTCCTCACCTTCACCTTTTCTACCTTAAAGCAACTTCTTTTTTTATTTTCCCAGCAAAATACAATCGATATCATTTAATTTTGTCCGTCATCAATGTGATGAATGAAGCGGAAAGGCTCAGAAAAGGACATCCATCCAGAAACCATCTATCACCGCATAACCTTGTCAAATTTCCCAAACCTCTGTGGGAGATTGTGTCAAGGTTAGATAATAAAGGCTAAAATAAAAGCTTTAATAGGAAAGAGATCCGACATCCAGAAGAGGCTCAAAGCAGCAAACTGATGATGCCTGTCATTGTCCGAACAAACAGAGTGCCGGAGGGTGCGAGTCGAAGCAGCTTATGGGGAGTTCCAGTAAGGAATAGGGAAAAATCAAAGCAGGAACAGCCACGTTTTTAGACAGCAGTGCCTTATCTGGGCTTTCTCTGCTGCTCAAAGTACAAGATTTCTTTTCCTGGCTTTTCTCAAAGCTGTATTTTTAGGTGTCATTTGCCAAAAAGGGTTGGGGAACTACACAATAGCACCTCTCTGGTGTCAGTGTAAACCACCACCTGCCACCTACTTAGAACAACTACGGCAATAACCATTTGTTTAAATGCCAAAAAATGAGCACATTTTTTATAATAACCTGACAAACAAGTGTGTGAATTATGGCAGTGAGTCAAGGGGGAAGTAGACATTCTTAAACTGCTGCCAAATATCTTTAAGGAGTGGTTCAGCATTTTGGGACATTCTGGCCAAATGACTTTCTTTCCAAGATTTAGATAAGAAGACAGTCAACTTGCTTCTATTCAACACAGTGTGCAATCATCTTCCTCCATAGCAGATAGCGGCTAGTTTGATTATATGAAATCTAATTTGATGCAAACATTTTAAAAGGTGCAGCTGAATTCTATCTGACTGTTTGATTTGAAGTTGTGCATAAGAAAGTGTGAGTAGAAAAATGGGAAAGTGTGGAAAAGTGCATGAAACAATAAAAGCAAAACATGACAAAATGCGAATAAATTTTAGAAGTGTATGACGCGTGGGACAAAAAAATTTATAGACAAAAGCAGCCGATCTGTACGGAGCGATAAAGAAACTCAAAGCATTCTCACATTCATGCATTCTTTTTCTACGAGGTTCAGAAGGCTCTCTTTCAGTTGCACCTTCTTCTTCTTCTGCACTGGTTAAACGGCAGCCAGCTAGGGAATTAGCACCACCAGCTATTTATCTCAATATACGGCTCCTAATATTTGGCCGCGTTCCAAATCACACACTGTGTCTTTTTTACTTTAAGAACAGCTGCCCTCACAAAGTGTGGACTTTTTCAAATGGTACGACCTTGACATCCTCTCTCGGCGCGATGTTTTGACCGGTGCAGCCTGTAAAGTGAAATGAGCTGTCATCCGTCTGCGTTGGAGATTGTTTATGCCGACACTGTGATGCATGTGATGTGACTGTGCAAAGGATTGTGGGTCAGCGTGTGACCAGAAAGGCACGCTGGGTTGCATACTGTAAAATGCCAACAGCTGTAGTGGGACATCTTGGAATTTTTGTCATGCTGTGCTTGCAATACCTTTAACTGCAAATCTTTCTAGGGCATGCTATAGAGGATGGACGTATGGATATTGGAATATGTATAATGCTAGTGGATAGAGTTCATTCATATAATCTTTAGCTGATTTTCTTAAAATTAGTTTGACATCTATGGAAACTTTGCTGCTCTTATTCCTGTATGCAAGTCAAACTGGAAGATAATAAAGTTATCAAGGCTGTAAATCATGCTATAAACAGACATTTATCATTTGTTTTGCGTACAGATTAAACAAAAATGGATTTAAGTTAATTAGTGATTTCTGAAAGTCAGGCTCGGCAGTTATTTAAATGCTCGACGGACCTAAACTCATGCTTCCTCCTTGGATTTTTGAGACTCTGTGTTCACTATTTTTCCTACTGAAAGTCCAACCTCGGCTTAACCAACTAGTTTTTATGCCTTAAAGTAACAACAGCTCAGCCATGATCTTGTCAAATTAAATATTTTGTAATATACTCCCCTGGATTACTTTGCGACACTGTTTATTTTGGAGGATTGAAGCCGAGCCAGCGTGTGGTAGGCTGAGGGTCCTCCGTCACTGATAGCATCTTTCATTAGAGAAAATGTCCTCTTTTCTTCAAGCTGGACACTCAATGCTCATTACAGAAACCCTTTCTGCATCTCCATTCTCCTCCCTGCGCATCCTCAACACATTTTTAATTTCAAAAGGAACTAATCTAATCAGACAGAGAGAGTCCTTTAATTAGGCTGAAGGGTGGGCCGTAATACGTCTGCTCCAGCCGAGGACGTTTAATTGGAAATATCCATTGGTTTAGATGGAAGAGGAGCTTAGCATGCTTAAAATGTGGCACTCAGCTCGGAGCCGGCGTATAGACGGGAGGCCTTTAGGAACTTAGAGTGAAAGCATGATAGCACTTAAGGCATGTTTGTGTCTTCAGTTAGCTGGTTATGCTGCATTAGAGTCACTGAACAAGAGGTTCTGTGCTTAGCTCCACATAATAACAGCAATATAAAAACTCAGATAAAAAGAAAAGAGTCAAACTACCTTCATCCAGATCGACTGAAGACGAGTCTTTTTGTTGCAAACTGTAAAACTCACTTTCTCAATTGAGCCATTTTGATGCGGTACCTCTTGATAAGCTTACTTCTACCTACAGCACTATGGTGAAAAACAACTTGTGAGGTTTTATGTAAACAAGAAAGTCAGACTGGAGCTCAGTGCCAAATATACTAGCTGGAGGGCCTCCTTGTGTACATGACCCACTGTTTTCCTGCCACTGCCAGACATCTTTCAGAAGGCTGGATTGCCAACATGAACTATTCTGGATTTTTTTTTGGGATTACAAGCCAAGTAATGATTTTTTCCCCCCCAAAAAAGCCTTGTAACTGGGTTGATGCCAAGACCAGAGGGTCACTTCATGCCCAGCATTAAAGGGGATCCAAAGGTTTTATGCATTTTACACAATAAACTTTGCTGTCTAGTCATATGTTAGAATTAAAGTCATATTTTTAACAACCAGTCAGCAAGTTACATGAAAGTCTGATCGTCATGTTGGTAATTTTGATGATGTGCAAACACTGAGGGGGGAACAAAATGGTCAAAAATGAAGAAATATGGAGTTTTAATAGAATCTGTCAAGTTCCACGAGCGTCACCCCGCCCATCCCATGATGCAAGCATTTCTCATTAGACCTTCCTTGTCTTGCGAACAGCCTCTTCTTCTTCTCCTCTGACTCCAGGCTTTCCGTTACAAAATTGCAGCCTCCCAGCCCAAACTGACGCCACTCAAGCGACACTCAACTCATTTTCTCAGACATGACAAAAGTCCTTCAGAGCTACAGAAGACATGACGCAACTGTTTTCCACAAGATCAAATATTAACCTCTCGGTGGCGTTTAGCGGCGGAGGGTTTTTAGAAGTTTACTCTTCAGTCTGGTATCTGCAAATGTTTATAACTATTACACCTACATAAAGGACGTGCGTCTGACCTTCCCTCTTGTTTCATTGCAGCCACCTTTCCGATTCAAAGAGCTGCAGTGCCCCATGACAGTGCATAAATTGCAGGCTGATAGAATTTTAATGATGTGTTTGTAGTGGGAGCTGCTGTGGTGGATCCAGGGGGCAGGTGATGCGAGGACAGCTCCGGTGTCAACACATCCCCCGGAGACGTCGTCCCTGCGCCGCCGAGTGGCTTCTTCAAACCGGAGCCTCTTCTCACTGTGTCACTCGGCGGTGATGAATTAATTACTCCGACCTGCCACTCACACACACGCAACCTGCCTCTTCTGCTTCTCTTTGTTTTGCTGCGTATCCACACCGACTGTCTCGCGTGTTTTTTCACGAGCGAGTAACTCTGGCGAACCTAAATTGATTAAATATGAGTTAGAGGGCACTGGGGGAGTAAAATGTGACTCAGCTGCATTCACTTGCTTGGTTCTCAGTGGGAACATCAAGTGCTTACACAGAGTGTGCTTATTCATCAGCGGCTATACCCTGACACATAATCCACTGCATTAAAGGCGATTCATCCAATAAGCAGGAACAGCAATTTCGTTGGACGTTAATAAATGCTTTCTCAATTGAGGCTGGCAGTCTCCCCCGAATACAGAACCACCCATTAGTGAAGTGTACAACCTGCATCACGGGACCAAGTCAGAGCCAAAACAGAGACTAAGCACATGTCAGGCAACTCTTCAAAGTATCGACTGCTACACTGAGCACCAGCACACTTACCAGCTGTCTGAATCCAGCTCCAGTAAGGACTGAGTCCTGTCAGAGGCGCACTGCAGACACCACATGTTGCCCTCTGAGCCCCTACAACAGACCCATCACCACCACCCGGATCTCCGTCACTCCATCCCTCCACTAAATGTAGCATTGGCTGCCCGACAGCGCTGCGTTCTTGTCAGGGAAATGCTCCCTTCTCCTCGGACACCTCTCCAGCTCTGGCCTTCCTTCACAGATATGTGAGGAGGGGCATTCGCAGGAAGAGGGAGGGAATTCCTCCAGAGGAAACTGGGTCGTGTGGCAGCGGGAGCACTGGTGTCCCACAGATGTGGAGGGTCTCCAACAGGAAGGGGCAACAAGTAGGAATTGGAGAGAGAAGCTCTACTGGTGTGGGCTTTATTAATAGCAAGAGAATGGTGGCAAGTATGAGGCCTGCGTGGGGAAACCCCTGGCTATACTGTTTTAGCTGCTGTAGAGGTACAGCTGCGGTAATGTGAGCTTTATCTTAACACAACTGTCCTCAGATGTCAGCCTTGAGCTTCATATGGAAGACATATGCAGCATTTGATGATCACCACTTTACTGATCAAAGGTCTGAAATGATCACCGTCATCTAACAGACACTGCAGAACGGGGAACAGCTGCTGACCCGCCGACCCATCGTCTGACCAAATATCTACGTTAATAGGGAATGTTTGACTCACATCTCCTCCCATCTTTGTGCCGAATGTTTAGAGTGATCCCCCCCTCCCACCACCACCACCACCACCACTCCTATTCCCACCCCAGAAAGCAAAGCAATGAGGGGGCCTCTCCATTTCCGTATAATGACATCATTACCCAAACAATGGGTGTGTATTGAGTGGACTGAAGATTTTATCATACCAAGGCAACCAAACAAAGTACAGCGCTGTGATAACACTGCTAATAGGGGCGGTTTGGGAAGAGATCTGCTGTTCTGCACTGTACCCGCGGGTGAAGCGTGCATATTTTCTGCTCATACATAGCGAACTCAGGAAAACAAATCCTCACTGACTCTGTATAATATGGAAAATATTGCAAACTATAATGGGTACGTTTGAAGACGGAGTTGCCGATTGATCCATGACAGCTTAAAAAAAAAGGGAGAAAAACGTCTCTCACATGGCAAAGGTTCATGCAAAGTGCACCACAAAGACATTCTGAGAATTTATTCTAGCTAATTATAGAGAGTTAACACCGTCGCTTAGAGGACAAACGCGGACAAAAATATTCCTGACCTTTGATTCAGGAACTGCGACTCTGGACAATGCTAACCACGGTGCTGAGGGAAAAAGCTTCAGAGTGAGAATGTGTCGGTTCTGCGAAGCTTAAAAAAAGCAGAAAATATCAAAGCAAACGGTATGAAGTGAGCCCAAGTCATACACAAACCTGGATAAGACCTGAAAATCCTGCAAAGTCTTGATCAATAGACACTCAGCTGAGCGTTCAGCCCAGTCCAACAACTATCTGAGCCAGATGGTTTCCTTTAGCTTTAATCATGACCGTGAAGCTTAAGGTAAAGCTGCAGCGGTTAACGCGCTCACTACATCTGTTTGAATGCAGAGGGAGATAGTCTGCCTTTGATCAGTTATTTTTGTCCCTCTCATCTTGGTATCTTGACAGTGATTAGCCAGATAGCGCAGTAGTTAGGAGGGATGTGATGTATTTTTACCTCGAATCTGAAACGGTGCCATAAGCTAACGGGGAAGGGGGGGACTCGTATCGCGGCTCTGAGACAGCTTTAAAATGATTTATGGACCCAATTGTGTTCAGTTTATCTAAATATCCACCGCTGCTGCTGCTGCTGGTTGCCTGGACATCTAGCTCTGAACGGCTGATCTCTGAGAAACTATACGACACCAAGCATGCATCTATTAAGCATGATTAATTATTTAGTCTGTTTATCCACTGCTTTAACCATTTAAACATCCTGCGTTCTGTACATTATTGCAACTGTTTGTACCGTTTTAGCTTCTTTGCTTGCTCTGTAGATTTCATCAACATGTTGTGTTCAAGAGTCACAATTTGAATCTGAATTTTTGATAATTTTTTTTAAATGTAAGTTTAGATTTTTTAAAATTGGGAAGCTGGGAATCAATAGCTTTGGGGTCTTTAACATAAATTCTACTCCTCATCACGTCAGCCGTAGAAACTGTGCATTGTCATTCCAACACAACGGGTCTTATTATTCAGCCCGGGCTGATTTTCTCCCCACACTGCTTTGCATCAGGTTCCCCCTGTGACCTTTGGGCTACGTGTGCAGAATCACAACACCTGAGGAAGGCAGACTGGCCTGTACGTGAGAGGAGTTATTAAGAAGATTACAGCAGATATGTATTCCACCAACACCAACCCCTAATGCAAGTAAGACGCATGACCAAATCAGATAACCGCCGCCTTTCTTCGCGTACAGTGAAATTACACGCATCCGTGTCGCCGCGCTGATTGCCGCGTGCGTCCTTGTGCGTTTGTTGTCTCAGACTCGAAAAAGCCGCGGAGGAATTCAGGGAAAACAGATGGTCCTTCTAGAGCAGAGAAACAATTCAGTGCTTTCAGAGAGTGAGTTTGCAGAGAGACAACTCAACACCGGATGGCTCTTTTAAAGGGCTTGTATTACAGACACACCTGTCACACTGTGTCTAGACTCCCAACTAGAAACAGCGGGAACCGTCGTCCTTCTATTAATCCCTACATCAGTTCCGGCTCTTCAGCGGTCTGGACGGAGGGTGTCACAGCTCTATTCCAACTATTACTGCCATTTAGATCCCACTCTCCTGTTACACACCCTCCCTCTATAGTGTCCAAACCTCACCACCCACCCTCCCCTACCTCCTCCTGACGACACGCCACTCCCCCCCGGCGGTGATACATTTCACGTACTGCATGAGACTGGTTCTCATCCAGCAGGGACAAAAATAGAGTCACTGACAGACACTGCATTTTCTGCTTCGCTTGGTAAGTAAATTGAGCAGTCTGTGCGAGTGGGGTAGCTGGAGACGAATGTGTCTGCACGTCCACCTCCCTAGATGCTGAGGTCTGCGGCTGAAATCAACAGTAGCACTGATTAGAAACACAAGGAGCTTGCTGGGACCTCGCAGAGGAGAGGGGAGCTCTGATAAATATGCAGTTACATGGCTTCAAATCAGTCGTCGAGCAATGAATGCAAAACACTCACCCCCTTTTCAGCTTCACAAATCCGAGTACTTGGTGCTTTTTCTCAGTGTCATATTATTGTAAATTTATTATTATTTATATTATTTTGCTAAGAGAAGCCTGTTGCTGCTTAGTTCACCTTCTTCTAGGGGGAAGTTACATGTCATTGTCCAGTCCCTGCTGATGAGAACCTATAGATAGATATCAACTCTCATCAGCAAAACCTGACTAATTCAGTTGTTTTTACTACAATGCCTGCTTACTTGGTTAAGAAAAGATGTTGTTCCTGGCTGGATATTAAACAAAGTCAGACACATTAGATCACTCATTCCTTACATTTAATAAAAGTAAGTTAGACACGTAGACCAGAAAGGGGAAATGGATAGTGGACTCAAATATGGCGCCCGTTCACATGAATAGAAATTGCTCAACTATTGCATGAACCAAAAAGGTTTTCTAGCTTCCAGGTTCACTTCTTGTGGCCCACTGCACATCCACATTAGTGCTTCCCCCCCGGACGGCCCGGAGACTTGACATCATGATGACAATACAAAAAAAGAGACTTATTTTTCAAGGGTCCACAGATTAAAACCTTGTCTGTAATTGAAAAGCCCTCTCTACAATTCTACAATTCTACAGGTGTACATTTTATTATCACAGCTTTCAGACTTCGGATGGAGGGATGATGGGCCGATGTCTGATCCTGTCTTTGCTGAAACTGAAACTGAAACTACACCCACTTTTTTCTCTTTTTGTTTTCTTTCATTTGTTACACAACTTTTAATGTGAACAGCCGGGCGTTTCACTATGAATACATATATATTACTTCACTTTCAAGCGTTGCCATGGATCGGGTGTAAATGTTTCTGATTCGCAGCATGGTCAGACAGCCATGTTGGCCAGCTGCGTAGATGAGAAAGAATTGAACCTCTTCTCTATTCGTGGCACTTTTTTATGTGCAGCACTATAAAGATGTTCAGGTTTGGCCACTCAGATCTGATCCTGGACAGGTTTTCTGGACCCACACATAACCAAACATGGTTTACAGGAAGCACAACTTTCCTCTGCTCGAGAAAACAAGCATCGTCAGTAAAAGTGATTCAGGAATCCAATGTTCCAGGGCTGGTTTTAGAGTGTGTTTGTTGTAGCTTGAAACATGAGATTATATTTGACCTGATTCCTTTCACAATCAGCTTCACTTTAATTATTGTTGAGAACAAAACGTACACAAACATTCATGCCTTTTTAAACAACAATTTAGCGGCGTCATAAATGTTGTTTTCCATCACCCTACGACAACTTGGAGTTAAGACTGGCATGTTTTCACAAGTGCAAGCACATTTATAATTATCTCCTCGCTAAGCATCATGTCCTGTTTCCAGACACTGGGGAATAAGTTCATTTTGACATGAAAACAAAGATCCCGGCAGTGACTGCCCTCGTGCTCTGGCTGGATTCCACTTGCATCACCCACACAGCGAGCTAAGTGTGGCCCAGGCCCGGACTAGCAGGCACACTGTCCGCTCTAAAGCTGTTTGGCTCAAGTTCAGCCCTGTAATCCCTCAGCTCTGAACCCACCCACGTGCAGCCCTCAGAGGGAGGAGCTGGTCCTGCCCTCTCAGCCTCAGGCAGCAGAAAGAGGGAGGATTAACTTAACTAACTGATGGCTGTCATGATGCACATGCACGTTGCTCCGGGCCACACAGAGCACACACCACACATCACTTACTGTAAGACAAATACCGTCCACATGCAAACATCTATAGGCGTCTATGATGTGCAATCATGCATGCACACAATATAGAAAGTTGCAGAGTCAGGAGCTGGCAGATGAAAACATAGCTGATGTTATGTCGATGACCATATGGCAGTGAATCTGCTCAGTCTTTCTGCTCTGCTGTTGCAGCTCCTCGGACCACGGTGCCATTATTCAGATTATCTCTGCTAATCCGCCTGCCGTAACTCTTCCTCCATCCTGTTTCTGAGCCGCCAATAAGCTCCAGAGCCAAACACACACCATCAACGTGC